GGGCAGTTGCCAATGGGAAAAAGAAAAACACGCACACCACCCAACCACAAAATGTACTCCGAAAAGCAAATAGTAACAGTTGAAATGTTTTTTCTTTCTTTTCTCAGGGTTGATGTCAATGAGTCATTTGAGGTCTCTTGAAATACCAAAATTACAGGGAATAAAAGCCACAACTGTCATCAGCAGGAATCTGCATTGAGAGAGTAACATCAATTCAGTTATTACACCAAAAAAAAAGAATCATATCATTAAAGTTTTGAGTCATGATCTTTGGGGAAGTCCTGCAGGACTATGGGAACTTTGTTGGCTTGTGTATGAGTTTCATTAACTGGCAGCAGGTGTCTTGACTGAACTGGATGATACTGGAGGGTCGCTGTTGTTGTTGTTTGTGGGAGTCTGACTCACAATGAGACGATTGATGTGACAGAGCTGAGTGTGGCCACTACTGACCTCCAGTGGCAGAATACGATATGAAAGTAAACCCAGGAGGACGCAGCAGATGGGAGCCACAGCCTTAATAACCTTAAATTAAGTCTTTCTCAGACTAGATTAAAGGTGAGGAAGGTCAGACTGTCACCATTAAATACTTCAAATAAATTTAAAAGGAGGCAACACTCAACACTGAACTCAAATAAAAAGCCTTCACCTTATGTTATGTTGCAGTCTCATACTGAAACAGTTTAATTTTTCCCACATCAGTCTATCTCTGTACTCCACAATGACAAAGCAAAAACAGAGTTTAAGATTTTTTTGTAGATTTATCAAAAAGAAAAATGAAATATCACAGTGACAGAAGTTTTCAGTCCCTTTGCAATGACACAGGTGCCTCCCATTCCTCTTGATCATCTTGCCTCTACTCCTTGATTGAAGTCTACCTGTGGTAAAGTCAACTGATTGGACATGATTGGGAAAGACACACATCTGTCTTTATAAGGTCTCACAGCTCACAGTGCACATCGGAGCAAAAAACAAGTCTCTGCAGAGCTCTGAGCACTGAGTCATGGAGCTGAATACTTACATCAGACCTCTGCAGGCAGTTTCTTTGACGTCATGACTTGGTTTTCACTCTGATGTGCACTGTCATTTCTGAGACCTTATAAAGACAGGTGTGTGCCTGTTTAAATCATGTTCAACCAGTTAAATTTATGACAGATGGACTTTGATCAAGGTTAGAAACATCTCAAAGATGATCCAAAGAAATGTAAAGGGTCTGAATTCTTAGTGATAATCAGCGATATTTAATTTTTTCTCATTTTCATAAATTTGCAAACATTTATTAAAATCTGATTTTGCTTTGTTAATATGACTGTAGAGTGCTGAGGGGAAACAGGAATTTAAAATTGTTTCAGCACGAGTCTGCAGCTTCAGTCACTGGGGCAAGACTTTTACCTATAGATACTTTAAGTACATTTTGCCAATAAAGCAATACTTTTAATTTTAAATGGAAGACTGTTTTTTGTGGTGGAGTACTTTTTAATCATTGTATTGGTACTTAGAGGTGTATCTCAGAAAATTAGAGTACCATGATAAAGTTCATTTTTCTCCCTTAGTTTAATTCAAAAAGTGAAACTTTAATTTGTCCTGGATTCATTAAACATAAAGTGAAATATTTCAAGCCTTTTTTTGTTTTAATTTTGATGACTCACAGCTCATAAAGTCAAAAATCCAGTATCTCAAAATATTAGAATATTACATAAGACCAATCAAAAAAATTATTTATAATACCGAAATGTCAGCCCTCTGAAAAGCATGTTCAATTATGCACTCAATTCTTGGTCAGGGCTCCTTTTGCACAAATTACTGCATCAATGCGGCCTTAAATGGCGGCGATCAGTCTGTGGCACTGCGGAGGTGTCATGGGAGCCCAGGTTGCTTTGATAGTGGCCTTCATCTCATCTGTATTGTTGGGTCTGGTGTCACTCATCCTACTCTTGACAATACACCATAGACTCTCAATGGGGTTAAGGTCAGGCGAGTTGGCTGGCCAACACCATGGTCAGCAAACCAGTTATGAGTAGTTTTGGCTCCGTGGGTAGGTGCCAAGTCCTGCTGGAAAAGAAAATCAGCATCTCCATAAAGCTTGAAGTATGAAGTGCTCTAAAATCTCCAGGTAGAGGGTCGTGTACAGTTTGGACTTGATAAAACACAGTGGACCAACACCAGCAGATGACATGCCACCCTAAATCATCACTGGACTTCAAGCAACATGGATTATGTGCTTCTCCACTCTTTCTCCAGATTCTGGGACCTTGATTTCTAAATGAAATGCAAAATTAACTTTCATCTGAAAAGAGGACATTGGACTACCAAGACCACTGGAAACAGCCAGCCCTTTCTGTCATGACCTTCTGTGGGTTACCCTTCTTGTGGAGTGTCGATGAGTGTCTTCTGGACATCCGCAGTCTTCCCCATGATGTGGTTGTGTGTACTGAACCAGACTGAGAGATTAAAGGCTCAGGAAACCTTCGAGGGTGTTTTGAATTAATTAGCTGATTAGAGCTCTTCTCGGGACTGTGTGAGTCCAGATATATACAATATTCACACAAACTTTTTCATGAAATTATTTCTTTAAAAAAACAAGGAACCAGAGTGTGTGCTCCAATTATCAGGGTATCACACTGCTCAGCCTCCCTGGGAAAGTTTATTCCAAGATGCTGGAAAGGAGGCACCGACCGATTGTCGAAACCTACAAGAAGACTTGTACTTGTAATGGAGCATTTTTACAGTGTATTTCTATTTTTACTTGAGGATCTGAATACTTATACCACTTTTTTTAACAGTATCGTGCTGAAACATAAACATTTGCTCCACATTTGTTTCTCACAGAGTCTCGTATGTGCTTCAGAGTTCTCAGATGACATCTTTTATTTTTGCGTATGCAGATGAACAGGCACTACAGTTTGGAAATTACAGCACTATGCTAAAAAAAAGAAAGAGAGAAAGCCCTCTGAAAAGTTTTCCTCAATACTGCAGATCAATGTTTCCAGACAGAAAAGAAAGAAGCATTTGAGTATTTCTTTTTAAATATACCGTCTTCCAGTGTATCACAGTTTCACAGTGGACGCTGCAGTCGTAGCTTTTACACACTTGTAAAGTACACTTGTTAACAGTCCCATTCTGCTTCAAATACAGTCTGAAGTCTTTAAATTCACATCATCTTCAGTCAGACAAAGAGGGCCTGCTTGTGGTGTCGGTGTAAACTGAGCTGGAGAAGCAGGAGTCAGATTCTGTGGAAGTGAGCTCACTTTGTTAAACATGATGGTTGAGAGTCTTTGGAGTGGCAGGGTGGAGGATTGTAGTAAGGCAATATTAATGTCACCCCATCTGAGCCCAGTGCTTTACAAGGAGCTACATTTTTTTTAAAAAGCATACAGAAGCACAAACGCAGTACGAGAGACATTTCCCTCCTGGATCTTATAAAAATGAACTTCTCTCATGCAGCAGAAAAAGGAAAATGTCTCATTAATTTTTCAGAGACGGATCCTCTTTCTGCTTTTTTTCACTCATCGCAGCCTTCTCTGTCTGCGTCAGTAAGACTACACCCACCTTCCTCACAGACAAAGGTGTCGTTTTCACCTGTGGTTACCAGGAGCAACAAACCAATCAACATGTACTGTCCTGCCACATGCACTCCTGCTCTTTGTCTGTATAAAGTCTTCTGATTAAAACATTAAACTATAAAGACGTGTATATTTAACACAGTCTGCAGTAAAATAGACCAATCAGACTATGTTACGCAATGCAAATTATCATCATCATCCTGATAGGAGTTTTAATTTGATCAAGAAACTGTCAATAATTTGGTGGGAACAAAGTGAGGCCATGCACTGGATCAGTTCAGATCAGAGCGGTAAACAGTGTGTGGGAGCATCAGCATGCACATAATCACAGAGATAAGAACAGGAAGCGGAGTCACTGACATTCACTCAGAGTAAACAAGTCGCATTAACTGCAGATAAAAATAAATAAAACCTTTGTTGTTTAAATTAAGCTGTTTTCCAGGCAGGTTTTGTTCATGGCGTCGGGGTTATTAACACAGTCTGCACGTAAAGACGGGAGGAGGAGACACTAACTGCAATGTAATGGTTATAACAGGCACCTTGTCAGTGACAGGTGGGACAGCGAGGTTAATGTAAACAATTCTTGCACTGTTTGGTAGAGTACATATTTCCATTTCAAAGACAAGCTCTGCTGAGTGACTTTGTGTGTGTTTACTTTACTGATGGTGAGCTGTCTTTTATCTCCGCTCAGAATGCTAATTCAGTGACATGCTGTGGAGTGCAGCAGGAAAACAACTAAATGCATTAAAGGAATAGTTTGACATATATATATATATATTTTATGCAGAGTAAGGGCACGGCCACACATGAGCAATGCATGCCAATGACCATCGCCTGCTGAGGTGATATTCATCCTAAATGTGGGCAGTGCCTGATGTGATGCACACTGAAAATTAACTTGCTAGCTAATGTTAGCTAGCTTGCTAATAGATAGGGTTGACACGGCAACAATCGATAGCCCTTTTTACACAGAGATCGCACTATAGGGTTGCTACGAAGTCCCATCTTCATGATGTCTTTACATTTTTACACAGATCCCAATGACAGTGGCATCACGGCGCTCCAGTGTGTGATTTTATGGTGCTTTCAGACTTAGAGTTCGCTTTTTTTGTTCTGAATCAGAGATTAATTTTGTTACAAAGTTACATAATTGCCTAGAGTTGGTTCGTGTTCTCACGGCAGCATTTACAAGCCGACCAGATTCAGTGCCTGCGAGAGAAAACTGCTCTTGATTGGTCAGAATTTCCATGTGGTTTAACCCAAACGATGTGTCATGTGACTGCAGTTGGTTCAGGTCGAGGTCAGAACACGTTCTCACCCTAAACAAACTGCACCAGAGTTCATTTGTAACCAGACCAAGACCACCTCTTCATGAAGGTCTCGGTCCGGTTGTTTTGGTGCGCACCCGAGTATGATTGCTGTGTTCACACCTGCCCAAACGAACCGCACTTTGGGAGCAAACGAACTTGAGTTTGATTGAACTGACCAAACAGGGAAGGTGTGAAAGCACCCTTAGATAGCATAACAGCATCGTGGAATGAAAGAGATGTGACGGGCGTGAAATGTAACACAACAGCGTCAACGTCTAGTGTGACATACAACATATGCTTCGGCAGCACTTTATCAGCAATAACAGTGGCATTAACATGGTTATACCAATCATTTACCATCCCTGTAAGGAGCTCCTGAATCTCATTGTTTTCTCCATTTGTGGGCATTTTTGGCCATTGTTCCTCCTCCTTAAGTCTTAAGTTAGCTGCTAACTGCTAACAGCTGCTTTTTAAATCTCCCACGGTGGGCTGCACACATAACACGTCATTAAATTGTCACACCTGTGCCACCCATGATGCCATCTTGCCGGCCATCCTGTTAATAATGAGGTCATTTCGGCGCTGTTACTACCTCTGCCGCCAGGTTAAAGGCGAGAAAACTCTGTCCTCCCATTCTGCGATTGTACCTTCTTTACAGAATAACCGCCTTGAAGAGGCAGTGTAACAGGGGCTAATGTCTTCTCCACATACTCTTCTCTGCTATTGGTTGAGGCTGTGACTTCGCCGGTCAAAGATCACTGAAGTTGAACTCAACGTGGTTCAAAGATGTGAATTTGCTTTGCCACTGGAGGCAAATCTTTTATTCTCTTGAATGAAGTGAACAGGAGTATATTTGCCAATGATAATTTTGTGCATGTGTGACTGTGCCCTTAGAGGAGAAGTTTAGTATCACTCTTGTGTTTGTGCACCAGCAGCTGGTTAGCTTAGCTTAGCTTAGCATAAAGACATGAAGAAGCAGGGGGAAATTAGATCGCCTGTCTCTGTCTGCAAAGCTCACTTAATCTGTGCAAAAAATGAAAAGTTGTGATCTTATAGGGAGTTTTGTGCTGTAACTCTTTTTGACTCTCCTATCTGCAGCATATAGTCCATTCACTTCAACTCTGCGTGGATTAAACCAGGCGTTTTCAAAGTCTGACCCTGTGAGCCTCCCCCTCTCTGGATTACACAAAGGAGATAGAAGTTGTTAATCGTTGAGCTTTAGAGGTGCTTGTAGGTGGATTTTGTTTCCTTTAGACAGAGACAGGAAAGCTGTTTCCACTTTATACTAAGATAAGCTAACCTGGGACTGCCTCTAGCTTTATATTTACAGTACAAACATGACTGGTACGGACCTTCACATCTAATGCCTACCACAGACACTTTCAAAGCCTTTGAAAATACTTTTAAAGGACTAAAGTCAGACACCCTCTCACATCTAAAGACAATGTTTATGACACATTGTCTTTAGATGTGAGGGGGTGTCTGACTTTATTCTTCAAAAGACTTTTCAAAGACAGGGCTTCAACAATTTCTGTCCACTTTTTCGTTCTCTATTCTGCCATGCTACAAATGGGAGGACACATCAGAGAGGCACTCGTGTTTCTCCTCCTTCTCAACAATCCAAGGCAACATCCACACCTCACCTTCTGTTTTTCATTTTATGACAGCGTTTTAAAACAAGAACAATCTCCGTACACATGAGCATTTTAGCACCGTTTCAGAATTAATCTCCGCCTATATTAACACACCTGAAAACGTATGTTTCATGACCATTGACAAACACTGGGCATGTTCATACTGGTGTAAACAGGAAGCAGATTGTCTACTCTCGGATAATACCACGGAGATGGCAAAAAGTACTAAGATTTCTTAGCTTGGACCAATGATGGGTCAGAACACTTACTGAATGTATAAGTATAAGATGGTAAAGGCAGCGGGAAACAGATTGGGAGGTGTTACAAAGCAAATACGGCCATATATCAGATCAGTGCCTGGAGCATCATCCATCACCAGAGGAAGCCATGGAAAGATGAAATCACAAAAGATATGTAGACCAAGCTATAATGTTTTAACTTGACATGTCGTGACTGATAAGACCCAGTCAGGAAGCAAACGTAGGTTTCAACGTCATTGTTTTCACCCATCCAGACTAAAATGCAACCATGAAGTTTTCAGACTACATTGGGGTCGACGGCGTGCTCAAAGGTCTCAGATTTAGTGTTTCCAAAACGCTGAAGCGGTGTGGACGCAGTGTAAACTTAACAATAGTTATGCGTACTAGTAGTCTAAAATGTACTAGTGTGGATGTAGCCCAAGAGAACTGAGACTTAATCAGAATCTTATGCCTCCCTGGAGTCCCCTCCATGTTTACTGTCTACCCAGTTTGCTGTTCCCTGTTTGGAGCTGGAGAGATCGCAGCTATTGGTTGCTGACTTAAATATTTACATGAGCCAAGACTAAAAACTGATAATAATATTAAACGATGATTTTATCAGAACATCAAGATGAGAAAAAGAACGGCTTAAGACAGCTCGGGCCGAGTTTTCTAATACCTCACACCAAACGATTGAGATCACGGGAGCTCGCCACAACTGTAGCAAAACTCTCATGATTTCATCTCAACATTGGAAATTTGTCTGCAACAGTGAAATTGCTTGTAAAGTCGTGCGGTGTTTGACATTCCCCAAAATGTCGAACTATTCCTTTAATGCTGAACACGTAAATATTTCACAAAGAAAACACTGTATTCAATGAGACAAAAAAAAACTGTACAAGCGTCCAGACTGTAAAAAAAAAAAGATTAAAATATATACATGAAATGCACAATGCATAGCTCATCTCGCTATCCAGGCACAACTGACGATACCATATCAGTGTTATGATGAGAGAACATACTGTATGGCATGTTAGCATCACGTCTGAAATCAAACACAGCTACACACAAAAGAGACTAAAATATTTCTGCTGCATTTGCAGTATTTTGATGACGATGATGTGATCCTGAACGAGTCTTCTCTATGATGAGTGCCAAGATGAAGACAGCTCACTGTGCCCAGTGGAGAGAGGAAGCTTTGCTTTCAAGTCTCTGGCAATGTGCAGTTATGACCGGACGGTTCAGTCTGGGTTTGCCCTCCGACGAGACAAGCGTCCTTCGCTGGAATGGCTAAATCGGCTCCACGTAATTGGCCGGGTACAGACCCAGCTGGCCGTTGTCTAGACGCCCTTTACACCAGCCCTGTTCGTCCTCCTCCTCCAGCTTCGTCAGCTCGTCCCCTTCATCGATCAAAGGAGACAGAAATGAATGAAAAACGATTCGGAAGAATGCAACAGACTCAGTGTTCAAGGGACAGCTCACCCCAAAATCAAAATATATTTCCTCCTCTTACCTGTAGTGCAGTTTATTTATCTAGACTGTTTTGGTGTGAGTTGCAGAGTGTTGGAGATATGGGCCATAGGGATGTCTGCCTTCTCTTGAAAATAATGCAACTAGATGGCACTCTGCTTGTGGTGAAAGCACTCAAAAAATACAAAAAACAAGATCCAGGCATCTCAAATCAATGGAGACAACCATGGAAAAAAAACCAAGGCACTTCGTCATGAGATCAAGTGGTCTCATATTGTATACTAATTCTTCGAGCGTAGGTACTCTAACTGACCAACACAAATCCACCTTGGGTCTTTATCAGGGTCTGAGAAACACTAATGAAACTACATCTTATGCCAGCCATGAATGGCGTTTCCTCCCAACACATAAGGTCTAATGTATAGCCAATAGAGGGTGCTCAAACAATAGCCTGGGCCCCATACATGCCAAAAAATACATTTGAAAAACTCAACAGCAATGTCTCTTTCCAGAAACCATGACTTGATTACGCAAGATAATCCACAGACCTTGTTGTGAGCAGTTTCATGTAGGAACTATTTTCTCTCTACCAAACTACACCTGCCAACTGTGTCACAGTGCAGAAGGAAGTGTGCATCTACTGCTAGCTCACCTAGCACCACTGAGCTAGCAGTAGATGCTACTGCTGAAGAGGATGCCATTAATATTTACATCTCACACTGTCACAAGCAAAAGCCTCTCGTCCATGAGTAGATGCACACCTCCTTCTGTGTGGTGATATGGTTGGCGGGTTTAGTTAAGTTAAAAGAAAATAGTTCCTACATGAAACTGCTCACAACAAGGTCTGTGGATTATCTTGAGTAAGCGTCATGATGTTGACTTTTTCAAATGTATTTTTTGGCGCTTTGAGCACCACAAGCTGAGTGCCATCTAGTTCCATTATATTCCGGAGAAGGCAGACATCTCTACAGCTGATATCTCCAACACTACTCAACTCAAGCCAAAACAAATTAGATTGATAAACAGCACTACAGGTGAGAGGAAAAATGTGTATTTTTTATTTGGGATGAACTGTCCCTTTAACACCAATCTGATGGCTGTCAACAAGAACTTTAAAGGAACAATCTTCTTGAAAAAACATGTTGGCCTAAGTAGTGTGGAAGACTGCAGTGATTTAGGATGGTGATGGTTTTGTGACAAAAACAAAGTATCAAGATATCCAAAGACATTTTGAAAACCACCTCTTCAGTGTACTCCACTCAATCATCAGCTCTTAAACTTGATGGTCAGTGTGAATAAAATCTAATTTTATATTGGTACCCATCTTTGTGGAGTTTGTATGAGTTTAACACTTTGGGAAATATCCATAATTGCTTTCTTGCTGAGAGTTTCAAGAGAGGAGTGATTCCACTCAAAGGTCATGTATTAACTGCCATAAAGCAGCATAGCTGACAGGAATTTGTTTCAGTGAATCCATGCAATATGAAACTTTGTGGTACTGAGCTACTAGTTTCTACAGGAACTACCGATTTTTCAATGGAGTATTATTTTTATATGATATACCATACTGACAGTATAGCAGCAGGAACATACTGGGAGTCACTGTTTTATCACCAGGCATCACACTCACCTGCTTTGAAGCTGAGCTCGTCCTGCTCTTGGCCTTCGTAGTCATACAGCGCTCTCACCCTCACGCCTTTGCTCACTTCTTCCTCGAAGGGGTTTGTCCCTCCGTTGGTGTCGTTGCCTGAGTTCGGGGCTGTCTGGTCCTCGTCCGACCACTCCGTGGAGGCTGTGTATGCCTGATTCTTCTCGTAGCTGCTGACACTGAACATCAGACATTTGAACAGAAAGTTAATTTTCAGTCCTACTGGGAAATTGTTTTTCTTTATTTATTGTTGTAAAGCATTTATACTATACTGCTCGTTCTAATGTCGCTATTACTATTATTACAGCTACAGCAGTTGATTAAAAGATGACAAAAGTTACTTATTTGTGCTTGGAAATAAAACTGAATTTACATAGAAAATGATATAATTAATACCAGATACAGTATAACTATGCAAAGATAAACTGATGATTATAATCTCACCTTCCCCGGTCTCCAGCCTGAGCGTGATCTACTGCTGTGGTGACGTTGGTCAGCATGACTCCATCATTGGCTTTCTTTGACTTTTCTTTCTTTGAGATGTTGTGGGTGAGGTCTGGGTTGTATTCCTGCAAAACATGAGACAAAGCATTCATTCATTTATTCAACCTTTGTTTAAATCTTGATGAAACAAGATCATGCTGGTTGGCCAATCATCTGTAGTCTTTGCAGTATGTTCTTGTGCAACTTTTTGACCTAGGTCTGGCGAAATGAGGCGATGCACCAGTCGACTCTCAAAATTCAGCTTCTCAAAATTTTCAAAATCAGTGCTTGCAAGCAGGACCTCAAGCATTAGGGAATCAATTAAACAAGCTGACTAATGACTATTGGACTAGTATATAAAGAAGTGATGTATGAAAGTCAGTGCCTGTCATGTCTTACTGTTAGAGATGGCCACCCAACCTTTTCATACAAGATGTAATGCTAAATAGAGTAACTGGTAATGACCCTTACGGCTCATTGATAAACTGAATATAGGGGTTTAAGAGTAGAGGCAGAGGTGTTTCTGTAGATAACATCACTCTGCAGACATTACTTGACAGAGCCAGGCTAGCTATCTCCTCTTACTGTCAGTCTTCATGCTACGCTAAGCTACAATAAGCAGCTGTAGCCTCATATTTACCATACACACGTGTGGGGTGTTAATCTTTTCATCTACCCCCCAGGAACAATGCAAATAAGGGTATTTCCCAAAATGTAAAATGAGTCCTTTAATGTTTGGACAGTATATATAGCTGAAGGCTACAGGCCTCTTGGGATGATTTAAAGTCTTATAATTGTAGCTTGTAATTGTATCTCTGTACCTCAAACTGTGGCCAGTTCATGTGCATGCCTGGGCCATGGGTGTTGCTGAACCACTTCAGATCTTCCTGCGGGCTGGATGATGTGATGGTGCGTTCAAGTTCTCTGTACACTGTAGCATAACTGTGAAAAGATGAGAGAGGTAAGGATTTAGCGTACAGGGAACCAATTATCTGATAGTTGGGTCTCGTCATAGTAACTGTACTTAGAAATGTCTCAGACCTTTGGTTTTCTGTGAGGTTGAGGTGGCGTTTGACGTCCAACAGCACCTCCCTGAGGAAGCTCAGCCTCTTCTCTTCAAACTGCTGGCACTGATCAAACACCTGCTCCATGTTTTCCATGTACTGCGGAGTGCACTTACTCAGCTCATCCAGAGCCTTCTCATACTTCTCCTTGGCCTGGGTGACACACACACACACGAGCATATACGATATCTCACTAACGCAGGGGTAATTAATATTTTAATGGCACGTTCCTGTTTTTCAGTTCTGTTCAGATGTGAACTCAAATAACCCTGAAAGTGCAATAAATGTGTATTCAAGCACAAGAATGAATCATAGTTCAAGAGTGTGAAGGTCGAGACACACTGAACACTCAGAGTAGTGGGGGAGGTGTTGTATTCAGTCACACATTAATAATGCTACACTGACTCCAGCTACGATGCCTCTCTAACGCTCACACCCAGCTCCACGTCTTTAAATAGCCTGCGAGTTGATTTGCTTTTAGCTTGATTGCGGGAAACAACTTAAGCATGATGATGACCGACAGGCCTGTTAGAGCTGCAGCAGCAGTCGGTGCGCTCTCACCTTCTGTGAGTCCTGTTTGCACTTGTCCACCTTCTCGTGGAGCTTCTTCTGCTGGTCAGCGGTCACAGAGGCCTCTCCCTTACTGTTGGCCTCTCTGGTGGACGCCAGCTTCTCCTCTTTGCAGGCCATGTGGTAGGACTTCTTGGCAGCCTCGAGCTAAAGGAACAAGATGAAATGAACAAGCATATAATTACTTTTCATAAACAAAGTAGGGTTGCATCTAATGTGTAAATAAAAACCACGCTCCCTCACCTCTTTTAGCTTTTTGGCCCAGGGCTTCTGGGCCTTCTTGAAACCCTCCTCTGCCTCTTTGGTTTCCTTGAATCCTCCCATCATCTGCTTGTGGTACAAGTCTTTCTGCCAGTTCTTCACCTTCTCAAAGTCATCATTGATCAGATTGTTTTTCACTTCCTGGTGAAGCTCGCTCACCTTCTCCGCCTCCGTCATCACCCCCATCCAAGCTCGCTCTACTGTGCCGTACTGAGGCCCTGGTGGGGGAGACATCACGTGACGCATTAGATCAAAACAAAAACGGACGCAGATTTTATAGACAAACAATACTTGAATTTGCATGACATGAGTGTGAACCTCCGCTCACCTTTATCCACCAGCTGTCTCCATCTCTTGGACCACTCCGTCAGCTGCTGTGAGTAGGCTTTCTCTATTTTGGCACGCTCCTGGATGCAGTTCATCAGGTCATTGCAAAGCCGGTGACCATCATCAATCCGCTTCACTGTACGTTTGTAGTTACCAACCTGACGTAAGACCAAAGTCTCAAGTTACTTAAGGTAATCAAATAGTATTAAAGGAATAGGTTGACACTGTGGAACAAAAGCTTAGCTGCTCTTTTACTGCAACTACGAAAGGATCGACACCGCTCTTGTATCAGTGCGTTAAGTACAAAACTGGAGACAGGAGGTGACTAGCTTAGCTTAGCATTAAGCATCTTTTTTATTTTTCCAATTAAAGTTTTTTTTGATCGGGGGTTTTTCCCTTGTCTGCTGTGTGCGTCCAAACACAGAGGGATGTTTGATTATCAAGATAATTGCCAATTAATTTTCTGTCAGTTCACTAATTAATTAAAGCAACAGTGTGTAAAATGTATGGGGATTTAGTGGCATCTGGTGGTGAGGATTGCAGATTGCAACCAGCTAAAACTTCTCCAGGTTTTAGCTGGTTTTCCTTTAGTGTTTATTGTTCAGGAAGTTGTAACCAGGAGCTGAATCATCGACAGTGGTCTCCTCCTCTCTAAAATAAACAAACCCTGTGATTTAAACCGGTAAAAACACTGAATGACGCAGTTTCATGAAGGGTCCTGTCTATAGCCAGTGTTTGGTTTGTCCGCTCTGGGCTGTTGTAGAAACATGGTGGTGCAGCATGGTGATTGCCGTAGACAAAGACCTGCTCCCTATGTAGATATAAACGGCTCATTCTGAGGTAATGACAACACAACGATGCTTATTTTCAGTTGATCACACTCTAGAGAAGCCCTACCTATTATATTATATTCAATTCTTTGCCAATATATGCTCCTTAATCCTACACGCTGGACATTTAATTGACTAATGCTACTAAAAGAACTGCTGTCTTCTGTTTTGCTGTATGGGTATCACTGTGTGAGCTGCCGTCTTTAAAAGGAGCTCAGCCTGCAGGTGATGCATTGAAAAGGCAGGAGGGAACAGCAGGGAAGAGACTACTGGTGTTAGTGGACTTATGCTCTGGAAGCAGGGGGTGGATTAATGTCATACAATTTACAACTCTCCGTGGACGCAGTAGCAGCAACCTCCCAGAGTTAGCTGTTAGCTGTTAGCTTTGCCCAGTGATAGAGTGAGACAGAGAGGGAGAGAGGCTGAAATCCCACATTACTGCATTCACATCACACCTTTGTGAAAGACAAACAAAGACAACAGTGTCTTTACTGAATGTGTAATAGGTGTTTACCTATAACTCATCCTGAAAATGACTCTCAACAAATGTGAGACATGGACTAAATGGAAGCAGCTGGGGGGACGGATGATTGTATTCCACACCAGCCCTCTGCTTCAGTCAGCCGAGTCAGCGATCAGCAGGCAGCACTGCAGCAGCTCTACTGGAGAGCACTGAGTGGCTGTGATGTAGTGACTGTGTGCTGGAAACAGGCACCTTTGCTGCTCCAGCTGATTGCTGGTCAGAGAGACGCGATGAGGATAAAACACAGCCGAGACGGAGAGGAAATGGATTATAAAACCCTGAAGTGACGATGCGTCTTTTCTGTCTCAAATACTGGCTGAGTCCATCCATCACACACACTGTATCTAAACATGCAGCAACGTGATCGTCAGTATTTTCTGTAGCTTTAAACGTGTCAGACTTTTTCCCAGTTTGAACACGTGAACCAGCTCTCATCTATTATGGATGGACTTCTGGGAACTTGTTGCTCAAATTACTCAGGACTGTTTGTGCTGGCGTGGGAGAAACTCAGAGCAACATACTGTCATAGAGCTGAAACAATAAATCACTTATTCAATGAATATAATAATAATAAACTGCCACCATTCAGATAAATGATCAGTTAAGCACACTGGACAAACGTTAGTTCCAGCTTCTCAGTTGTCATTTTGCTGCTTTTCTTTGTCTTATATGGTCATCTGGATATTTGGGGAGTTCAGAAAAAATAAGCAATATGACATCATCTGAGGCTTTAGAAAAATGTGTAATTTTTCCCTGTTTTCTGACTAAATAATGAATCAATAATTGAGAAAAGTAATTATCATATTAATGGATGGATAATGGAAGGTATTTTTACTTGCAGTCCTACGATCATCCATGTATAAATATTTTTTATAAGAATATTTTGTAAGCATTTTAGGAGTTGTCACAAAACCATACAGTGACAAGAATCATTCTTTATCCATCTATAAGCCTTTTTGATTTTTAATTTTTTTATTTTTAATCTTTTGCATTTACGTGTCAAATATTTGGTTCCACCCAAGACAGGACCAGTATTTTTTTTTTAAATTTAATTTAATTTAGATTTTATTTTATTTTATTCTATTTTATTTTTTTGGCCTTTTGCCCAATGTCAGCTGGAATAGGCTCCAGCCCCCCCGCAACTGCACTCCTCTAACTTTGTTCACAGCAATCTAAGTTCTGTCTTGTCTTATCTTATCTTAATTTCAAAGGCCTCATTTCTAAATGCTTAAATCTGTGCATAAGACTGTCTTCATGAATGACAAAGTTTGCATTTAACATGCAAAATAAACAATGAAAAATTCCTCTATTCCACAAACAGGTCCATTAATAAAGGCTAAATGGCTGATAGCTAACAAAGTGTGGGACAAATTAATTTAGGAACGGAACAATGAGGAAGAACAGAAGACAAATTTCAAAAACAATTAGGTTGTGAGACAGAAATGACATTCATGCTACAGCTGAATTGTTTTATTTGGCAGTTGGTAAGGTGATAAATGCTGCAAACAGTGTCATCTTTAATAAGAGCTGTATCAGAAGTTGCAGCAATTGCATCTCACTAAAGAGCCATCAGTGTCAGCTCAGTGTCACCCAGAGATAAAAAATAGTTGGTTATTATTTGTGAGTCCCTGATCGTTATACTGAGAGAGCAATCGCATTACAGGCTGAACCAGAGTTGTAAATAATTTGTTTTTCACTGTTGCACTTATTCTAACATTTGCAAAATATAAGATATAGCTGGCTCAGTTGACTCATTTAGAGATAACGGCGCTAAAATGTAACTGTTTGTCATCATGGCTCAGAGATCTGGTGCTCAGTAATCGATTGATAAATTTGATTCTATGCATCGATTTGAGCATTCATGTGTGAGTCTGTTGCTACGCAGTTGATAAACGAGGCCTCAGATCTTTCCTCTCACCTCCCAGACGAAGCAGGTTCAGTGAGAGTTCATCACAGAGCGGTGTCACTGTCAGCTCTCGGTTAGGTTTAATCTGTCAGAGACTGTGCCCTGCTGTCTCACCTCCCAGAAACTGTCTGTGGTCTCCTCCAGGCTGGCGGACTCGTCGTATGCTCCAGACATGGTCTCCAGATTTGGCAGGATGGCTTCAGGCTGTGGCGGTCTGCAGCAGAGTAACGCTCCTCATGCACTTTAAGAGACAACGAGCACAGAGGAAGGTAAATACAGAGATTGGGAGATGTGCTAACAGCCGCATAAACACTGATTATGAATATGGTTTTTAGCTGCAAATGATGTTGCTACATACTCTGGTTAACTTCACTAAAATATTCATTTTGCATGTTCAGCCTGAAAAGTACGCAGTTATGATGCTGTGATTTAAAACAAGCTTTTTTTTGTTCCAGATTAAATGCTTATTCCTGCAGCTCATGTGATCACAGCATCTTAATCTAGATCCTTTGTTCATGCTCATATAATGCCTACAAACGTTGTGTCATGGATTTCAAAGTAGATGCAAAATCCTTATGTAACAAGAAAAAGACAGCGCTCATGGAAGGTTTATGCAAGAGATTATTAACCACAAAGAATTATAACAAATTAAGCTGCTTTTTTAAAAGAAGAATAGATAATGTGACTCTACGGCTGACAAGTACATGGCATATTCACCGCCAGATTATATTTATGAAATATAGTCTCAGGGTGGAAACGAATGTTCATTATCTGCAGATGACGTCATAAATTAATCCTTTTTGCCTGTGAAGCAATACAAAACCCAAAGATATTCAGTTTACAATGTTATAAAACAAGGGACAGCAGAAAATTCTCACAGCTGACAAGTTGGATCCAATAAGTGTATGGAAATCCAGAAACAGTTATATAAAATGTAGAGATTAGTATTAAATTAAGTATTTGTGCTTGATACATTTCTGTCCTGTCAGTCAAACTGTTGCTTCAGCTCTAACAACAATCACAACTTTGCAATAAGGTCCTGTAGATAACACAGCTGAATACACTAATACACATTTGTACAAAGTCCAAACTACAGCTGACAAGATTATCAGCGATTATCAGGGGAATCAAAAGTGCATGTCTGAGCATTTTATTTTGCACAATACTTTCCACACACTGATATCAGGAACGTACAAAACCACAAACCCCTTTATAACCCCATAAGACTGCTTCTGGCTGTTTCTCTCTCCGCTGCCCTGAGATGACTTTGTCAGGAGATGTAATGACTGGCTGGTAATTATCATAACAGCTTCTGTCAGAACACTGTCGCCTAATTGCAGAGTAATCTTTCATCATTCTAGTCAATAACATTATCACAAGACCTCACTGGAACACCTTCTGCTGCAGCAGAAATTAATAGCAGTGACGCGACTGCTAATGATGACACGTCTTGAAATTAGGGTGCAACATTAGGGAAGGAAGAGAGAAACAATCTGTTTTTCAATCCATCCATCCGTCAATGAATGGACTGCTGAACAGGCCTATTGGGCACAGACACAAGGGTCCAAGGGGCTCTTGATGGAAAGTCAATCTGCCGACTGCAAAGGCACATAAAAGCAGTTACAGAGATGCAAAATGAAAAGCAAAACAACCACAAAGGAACACAAAAAAAAGAGCCACAAAGCGACAAAAAAACAACCATTAAAAGAAACAAATTGGCCATGAAGAGCAGCAAAGTTATCATAAAAAGGAACAAAATGACCACGAAGAGAAGCAAAACGGCCGCAAAGAGACACAAAATAACCACAAACAAAAACAAAACAACCATATAAGGACACAAAAAACACAAAGAGACACAAACGGGAACAAAACAACCATTAAGAGACACAAAGTGACAAAAATGACCACAAAAAGAAACAAAACAACTGCAAAGAGGCAAAACAAACACAGTGACACAAAACAACCACAAAGAGATGTAAAATGTCCAAAAAGAGACACAAAACAACCATTAAGAAAAGTAAAGTGACACTAAATGACTACAAAAAGAAACAAAACAATCAAAAAGAGACAAAATTATCACAGAGACACAAAACATCCGCAAAGAGACACAACATGACCACAGAGAACAGCAAAACAACTGCAAAGACACAAAACCGCATAGAGACAAAATGACCACAAAGAGAAGCAAAGCGACCACAAAAACAACCACAAAGAGACACAAAATGGGAACAAAACAACCATTAAGAGACACAAAACAACCATTAAGAAAAGTAAAGTGACACTAAATGACTACAAAAAGAAACAAAATAATCAAAAAGAGACAAAATTATCACAGAGACACAAAACATCCACAAAGAGACACAACTTGACCACAGAGAACAGCAAAACAACTGCAAAGACACAAAACAACCGCATAGACACAAAATGACCACAAAGAGAAGCAAAGCGACCACAAAAACAACCACAAAGAGACACAAAATGGGCACAAGAAGAAGCGAAATGACCACAAAGAGAAGCAAAACAAATTCAAAGAGACATAAAACAATTAAGAAGGGATGCAAAGGGACCACAGAGAGACACAAAACAACCACAAAGAGACCCAGAACAACTAAGAAGGAAGCAAAACAACCACAGACGCATAACAACCATAAAGAGACACAAAATAACCACAAACAGAAACAAAACGATCAGGTAGGAAAGCAAAACAAACACAAAGAACCACATCATGACCACAACTACCAAGAGACACACGACAACTACAGAGAAACGCAAAAAAAGCAACACAAGTTTTTGTCTATGTACAGAAGCCCATTGCCTACAAATCTGTCCATGTATCTGCACAGCGTGTGATTATAACAACCAAACAACACAGGATAAGAAGGCTCACTGACTGCAGACCCTCAGCATAATAACTCAGTGAAGACATTAACATTCAGTCTGAAAACATCCTCCTGGTGCTGCTGCAGCCTCATCAGCTCCACACTCACCTCCACACGTTCAGGTTCAGTTCACAGCCCACACTGCAATTTAAAAAGGGACTATACTGTTAAACTGCCACATGTTCACACAGCGTACTGAAATTATGATCGGCTTTAAGTAAGAAGTAATTAGCTGCTGCCAATGAATTTTACTACAGCTTCATAAAACTTAATCACAGAGAGCCTCTGCTCTTGTAATATCGTTCGTAGTCTCCGATTCCTGACCCTAACCCTTGGACCGACTGTAACTTTTAGGTCCATTTAAAAAATAAACAACTTTTTAAACTAGAATTACCACCTCGCGGTTGTATACCTCCACGCAACACTCAATTTGCAGTTACAGTTTAAATTCATGTGAAAACATGGAGGCTTCACGCGCATCTTCACCCCGGCAGCACAGAAGATCAATATAGTGAGTGCAGATTCAAGATAAGTATCACCAATCTAGTATCTGACCAAATGTCTCACCTTCTGTTCCTGAGTTATGATGTAACAGCCAGAAAAGTGTTTTTGCAGAACATCATCATGTCACAGTGCAGCTGACCTTTGACCTTTTGGATATAAACTGTCATCACTTCATCATTTTATCCTGTTAGACATTTGTGTGACATTCTGTCATATTTAGCGTAGGAATGAGTTATGGCCAAAAACATGTTTCATGAGGTCACAGTGACCTTGACCTTTGACCTTCAACCACCAAATTCTTATCAGTTCATTCTTGAGTCCAAGAGACTGTGCCAAACTTGAGGAACTTCCCTCAAGGCCTTCTTGAGTCACGCAAGGTCACAATGACCTTAGACTCAGACAACTTTGTTAATCCCACCAAGGCCAATTTGTTTGACCAGCTTGCCTTGTAAATATATTATAATATACAGTAACATAGACACAGTCTCTCAGGATGTTCCTGAGATGTCATGTTCACGAAAATGAGATGGACGCAAGGTCACAGTGACCTTGACCTTTGACCTATGACCAACAAAGTCTTATCAAGTCATCCTTGACTCAAATTGAACGTTTGTGCCAAGTTGGAAGAAATTCCCTCAAAGTGTTCTTGAGATATTGCATTCAGGAGTATGGAACGGATGCAAGGTTACAATGACCGTGACCTTTGACCACCAAAATGTAATAATTCATTGTTGAATCCGCGTGGATGTTTGTGCCAAATTTGAAGACATTGAGTCCAGGTGTTCTTGAGATCATGTTCACAAGAATGAGAGAGACAAGGTCACAGTGACCTTGACCTTTGATCTATGATCACCAAAATCTAATCAGTTTATCACTGAGTCGATGTGGACTTTGAAGAAATTCTGTCTTGGTGTTTTTGAGATATCACGTTCACAAGGAAGGGATGGACAGATGGACAGACAGATGTGTGGACAACCCGAAAACATAATGCCTCTGGTCGCAGCTATCGCTGCTGTGGAGTCATAAAAAAATCAGTTAGATGTTAGTCAAGGCCAGGCATTTATTTGTATAGCACATTTCATACACAAGGGTAATTCAAAGTGCTTTATTGAGCAATAAAATATAAAACAAAATAGAGTAGGATTTACAACAGGAATTAGTCTAATTTGGTTTTGATTTGTTTCCCGCTGTCATTCAAGATGGGCTTACATTAAAACCTGTTTACATGATCACCATATCTTAGTGTAAATGTTATCATCAGCTAAACAGAGATTCAAATAAACTTCAGTTTTACAGATACCATTTCAAACACTTGTCTCTTGAGTCTGACCGAAGGAAAACAACAACAAGTCGCCCCCGGGATTAGTTATTGTAACTGTCTGCACAGGGATCAAGTTTGAAAGAAACCAGATGACTTGCCAGAAGATATATGTTGTTTTCCCAGGCTCGATGTTTCCTGAATCACTACATTGGAAAAAGTTAGTATGACGCACAGTCAACATGGACACAGTTATGAGAATAAGACGCAGGTTGAGAAATACCATATTTTCCTTTAAGTCTTGGATATTGGAGCTTCCCACCTGCTCATGACCTCGCCAGATGTTTTAATCAACCCTCACTTTCAGCAGCACTTCCCCACTTTGATATAACAGATATAGATAACAAAAACCCAGATATATTGTTTACTTTGGATATTTGCACAAGCATAAATCACTAAATGATACAACATTGAGATTAAAAAAAACCCAAAACTATTATGGAGATAGAAGAAAAGAAATGAATGTGAGCAGT